CCCCCCAAACACACACAAATAAATCGGGAATGTCCGTCCCGCCGGGATCCCACAGCAAACTCCACCCCCTCCATCCCATCCCAAGCTCGGCACGGCCCTTCCCGAGCCGCCTTTTTGGTTTTTTTTCCCGGGAATGCCGGGAGATGCACGCGCTCAGGGATGGGCGGGAAGGCTCCGCGGCTCCTCCTCCCGTGGGATTGGATTGGAAGTGGGAATTCCCGCCCCGCTTTCCATCGGGAGCGGCCGGGATTTGCCGTCCCTTCGTGCTCCCCCCTTGGATTGGGGAATTCGGGAATCCGGGAGAGACGTCGGGGGTGTTTTCCAGAGGGAAATCCACGGGGTGGTTTGAGTGTTCCCGGCATTCCCATCCCGGGAATTGCAGGGGAGGGAAAAAGGGGCCGGTTGGGATCGGGGAGTGCTTGGAATTAAAAGCAGTGGGAATTCCAAAGGGTGATTCCCGGGCTCGTTTGTCCTGGAAGGAGGGGGGCAATTGGATACCGGGAAGGCTCCTCTGCTTTTCCAAGGGGATGTTGTTGGGTTTGGAGGGATCCTGGGATGGGAGGGGAGGGGCGGGAAGGGGCCTCAAATAGTTTATCCCATTCCATGGGCAGGGACAATTCCCGCTATCCCAGGGGATCCAACCCGGCCTGGGACACTCCAGGGATCCAGGGGCAGCCACAGCTTCCCTGGGAATTCCAGCCCAGCCGGGAATCCCTTCCCAATCTCCCACCCCAATCTCCCCTTTCCCAGTGGGAAGCCATTCCCTGTGTCCTGCCATTCCAGGCCCTGATCCCAAATCCCTCTCCAGCTCTCCTGGAGCCCCTGCAGGCTCTGGAAGCAGCTCCGAGGTTTCCCTGGAGCTCCATGTTTCCCTTTAATCCCGTGGAATCACATCCCACAGGATTTGTCTCCCGAGAAACCCCAGCCTGGAGCCATCCCAGCTCCCTGGGATCATCAAATCCCAGCCTGGTTTGGGTGGGAAGGGATTTTAAGGATCATCCCACTCCCTGGGCAGGGACAATTCCCGCTATCCCAAGGGATCCAGCCCGGCCTGGGACACTGCAGGGATCCAGGGGCAGCCACAGCTTCCCTGGGAATTCCAGCCCAGCCGGGAATCCCTTCCCAATCTCCCCTTTCCCAGTGGGAAGCCATTCCCTGTGTCCTGTCCCTCCCTGCCCTGGTTGTCTCCATGGATACCTCTCTGTCCTTGGAAAACTCTTCCCAACTTGCAGCCCCCCCTCCCCTCCATTGGATCCCACGGAGCTCCCAAACTGGGGATGCCAAATCCTCCCTCCCCCACCCCCAAATATCCTCCCGGACCCTTTCCCGACTCTTCCCAACCCCAGGACTGACTCTGGAATTCCTTCTTCCCCCCGGAGTCGCTCCCGACCCCTCAGCATTCCAAACACCCCCAATCCTCTTCCTTAGGGTTTGGATTTATTTCCCAAGGTTTCCCCCCTCATTTACAGGATTTTACACCTCGGGCCGAGGATCCCAAACCCCCATCCCACCGGGATCTGCTCCTCCCAGCCGGGAGCTCATCCCGATCCCCCCCCCAAATCCCAAATCCCGGGAGCGCCGGTTCCGAGGGATGCGAGGAACGAGGGAGGGAATTCCTTTGGGATTTTCCCGCGGGGCGCTGAAGCTCCAGGAGGGGAGGGGAAGGGGAAGGGGAAGGGGGTTGGAAAAGGCGTGCGGGCGGGAATTCCCGGGTGGATTTTTCCCGCTCACGGCCCCTTCTGGGAGGCGCTTTTGCCGATGGTGTTCCTGAAGAGCGTCAGCAGCGGGGTCCGGCTGCTCCCCGAGCCCATGAACCCCCCGTAGCGCTTGTCCAGCGGCGATTCCCAGCGGGATTTGCCCCCTTCCCGCCTTCCCCCCAGCTCCCGCCGGAATTCCAGCGGGAATTCCCGCGCCGCCGCCGCCGCCGCCTCCTCCTCCTCCTCCTGCTCCTGCTCCTCCTCCAGGGCGTTGGGGTACACCTTGACGGGTCTCCTCTTGCGCCCCACGGGCTTCCCCCATCGGAAGTGCTCCATGGAATAGGAGCGCTTCCCGTCCTCCTTCTCTTCCCGGCGCTGGGAATGCGGCCCCGGGAGCGCCGGGATGTTCCCGGAGCCCTCGCGGCGTTTGTGGCTCCCGGCGCTGCTCCCGGAGCCGCTGGAGCCGCTGGAGCTGTTCCTGCGGCCGAACTTATCCCATCGGAAGTGGCTCATGACGTACCTGCGGATGCTCTCGGACAGCGGCTCCAGCTGCCCGTTCCCGGGAAACACCGGCGCTTCCAGGGAAAGGCCGTCTCGGCACGCGGCAGAGCATTCCTGGAAAAGGGGGATTGGGGAAGTGGGAAGGGTGGAACTGCCGGGGGGGTGAGGGCTCCCCGGGATGTGGGATGGAGGGATATCTCTGTCCAAAGGGATGTGGGATGGAGGGATATCTCTGTCCAGGGATGTGGGATGGAGGGATATCTCTGTCCAGGGATGTGGGATGGAGGGATATCTCTGTCCAGGGATGTGGGATGGAGGGATATCTCTGTCCAAAGGGATGTGGGATGGAGGGATATCTCTGTCCAAGGGATGTGGGATGGAGGGATATCTCTGTCCAGGGATGTGGGATGGAGGATATCTCTGTCCAGGGATGTGGATGGAGGGACATCTCTGTCCAGGGATGTGGGATGGAGGGATATCTCTGTCCAGAGGATGTGGGATGGAGGGATATCTCTGTCCAAAGGGATGTGGGATGGAGGGATATCTCTGTCCTGGGATGTGGGATGGAGGGATATCTCTGTCCAAAGGGATGTGGGATGGAGGGATATCTCTGTCCAGGGATGTGGGATGGAGGGATATCTCTGTCCAGGGATGTGGGATGGAGGGATATCTCTGTCAGGGATGTGGGATGGAGGGATATCTCTGTCCAGGGATGTGGAGGGACATTCTGCAGGGATGTGGGATGGAGGGATATCTCTGTCCAAGGGATGTGGGATGGAGGGATATCTCTGTCCAAGGGATGTGGGATGGAGGGATATCTCTGTCCGGGATGTGGATGGAGGATATCTCTGTCCAGGGATGTGGGATGGAGGGATATCTCTGTCCAAAGGATGTGGGATGGAGGGATATCTCTGTCCAAAGGGATGTGGGATGGAGGGATATTCTGTCCAGGGATGTGGATGGAGGATATCTCTGTCCAGGGATGTGGGATGGAGGATATCTCTGTCCAGGGATGTGGGATGGAGGGATATCTCTGTGCTGGGATGTGGGATGGAGGGATATCTCTCCAGGGATGTGGGATGGAGGGATATCTCTCCAAAGGGATGTGGGATGGAGGGATATCTCTGTCCAAAGGGATGTGGGATGGAGGGATATCTCTGTCCAAAGGGATGTGGGATGGAGGGATATCTCTCTCCAGGGGTGTGGGATGGAGGGATATCTCTGTGCTGGGATGTGGGATGGAGGGATATCTCTGTCCAAAGGGATGTGGGATGGAGGGATATCTCTGTCCAGGGATGTGGGATGGAGGATATCTCTGTCCAGGGATGTGGGATGGAGGGATATTCTGTCCAAGGGATGTGGGATGGAGGGATATCTCTGTCCAGGGATGTGGGATGGAGGGATATCTCTGTCCAGGGATGTGGGATGGAGGGATATCTCTCTCCCGGGGTGTGGGATGGAGGGATATCTCTGTCCTGGGATGTGGGATGGAGGGATATCTCTGTCAGGGATGTGGGATGGAGGGATATCTCTGCAGGATGTGGATGGAGGATATCTCTGTCCAGGGATGTGGGATGGAGGGATATCTCTGTCCAGGATGTGGGATGGAGGATATCTCTGTCCAAGGGATGTGGGATGGAGGGATATCTCTGTCCAGGGATGTGGGATGGAGGGACATCTCTGTCCAAAGGATGTGGGATGGAGGGATATCTCTGTCCAGGGATGTGGGATGGAGGACATCTCTGTCCAGGGATGTGGATGGAGGGATATCTCTGTCCAAGGGATGTGGGATGGAGGGATATCTCTCTCCAGGGATGTGGGATGGAGGGATATCTCTCTCCAGGGATGTGGGATGGAGGGATATCTCTGTCCAAAGGGATGTGGGATGGAGGGATATCTCTGTCCAGGGATGTGGGATGGAGGGATATCTCTGTCCAGGGATGTGGGATGGAGGTGACACCTCCATGTGGGACCGTCCCAAGTGCCGGGACCATCTCCATGGAGTCCTGGAGTCATGGAATGGGTCGGGCGGGAAGGGACCTCACAGCTCATCCCATTCCAAACCCGGCACCTCCCGCTATCCCAGGGGATCCAACCCGGCCTGGGACACTGCAGGGATCCAGGGGCAGCCACAGCTTCCCTGGGAATTCCAGCCCAGCCGGGAATCCCTTCCCAATCTCCCTTTTCCCGTGGGACGCCATTCCCAGTATCCCATCCCGCAGTTCCCCCCCACACTTTCCAGGATCTCCCCTCGCTCCCAGCCGGGATTTCCATCCCAAACCTTCTTTTTCCCCAAATCCCCTCTGCATTCCACGCATCCCAATCCTCCCCCCTCCCCCCCCGATCCCGGGATCTCCCGGCGTTCCCATTCCCGGTTTACCAGGATTCCCGGCTGTCCAGAGAGCTCCCGGCACTCGGGATTTTCCCCGCAGGGCGCTCCGGCCGCTCCGGGATGGCAGAGGAGCAGCCCCAGGAACACGGACACGCCTCCCCACCGCATTCCCGCCGGGAATTCCGCGCCGGGATCGCTCCGGGGGCAGCCGGGAAGGAACTGAGGGAAAGAAAAAAAATCCCATCCCACCATCCCCCCCCCAAAAAATCCGTTTATTTTCGGGAATTCCTTTGGGATGTGGTTCAGTCCCCCCTTTTCCTTCTCCAAGGGGTGGGGGTGGAATTCCATGCCCATTCCTGGCCTTTCCCGGTTCGGGATTTTTAGAGGGAATTAAGGGGAAAGGAACCTCTGGAAAATCCCAGTGTTCCCAAAGATGGGAAAGGGCAGCAGGGAATTCTTTTTCCCAGTTTTTGGAGCGGTTGGGAAGGAAAAGAAACAGATTTTGGGATCGACTTCCCTTTCCCCTCTGGGAAAAATCCCTCCCATTCCCAGGGCTGGAAAAGGGTCGATTTTCCCCTTAATTCCCATGAAAATCCAAGTTTTCCCAAAACTGGGAAAGGACGGGAGGGAATTTTTCCCGGTTTTTGGAGCAGCTGAGCAGGAAAAGAGGCTGATTTTGGGATCACATTCCCTTTGCCTCCTGTCCTTCCCAGCTTTGGGAAAACTTGGATTTTCAGGGAATTAAGGGAAAATCCATCCTTTCCCAACTCTGGGAATGGGAGGGATTTTTCCGGAGGAAAAGGGAATGTGATCCCAAAATCTGCTTCTTATCCCGCCCACCTGCTCCAAAAACTGGGAAAAATTCCCTCCTGTTCTTCCCAGCTTTGGGAAAACTTGGATTTTCAAGGGAATGAAGGGACAAGGAACCCTTTCCCAGCCTCAGGAATGGGAGGGATTTTTCCAGAGGGGAAACTGAGGCCCAGGAAAAGGGAAGTTAATCCCAAAATCTGCCTCTTTTCCTGCTCAACTGCTCCAAAAACTGGGAAAAATTCCCTCCTGTCCTTCCCAGAATTGGGAAAACTTGGATTTTCAAGGGAATGAAGGGAAAATTAATCCCAGGGAATGGGGTCGCTTGGATTTGGGGAAGGGCTTGGAATGCAGGGCTGCCAGAATGGATCCCGAAATTCCACTGGAATTGGGGGGGGTCTGAGCAGAAATTTGGGTTTAAAGGGGGAGGAAATGGAGAAAAATATCGAATTTAAACCTAAAGTTGGGTTTAAAGGAGGGGAGAATGGAGAAAAATATCAAATTTAAGCTTAAAGTTGGGTTTAAAGGAGGAGGGGAAATGGAGAAAAATATCAAATTTAAGCCTAAAATTGGGTTTAAAGAGGGGAAAAAATGTAAGAAAAGGTCAAATTGAAGCTTAAAGTTGAGTTTAGAGGGGGAGAAAATGGAGAAAGGGATGAAATTTGGGCATAAGTTTGGGATTTAAAGGGAGAAACAGGTGAAATTCCAGCAGAAAACTGGATTTGGAGGGGAAGAAAACAGAGGAAAAGGTCAGATTGAAGCCTAAAGTGGGATTTAAAGGGGAAATAAAAAGGAGAACAGATTTAATTTGAGGCTGAAGTTGGATTTAAAGGGGGAATAAAAAGGAGAAACAGATGAAATTAAAGCCTAAAGTTGGGTTTAAAGGGGGAATAAAAGGAGAAACAGATGAAATTTAAGCCTGAAGTTGGGTTTAAAGTGGAAATAAAGAGGAGAACCAGATTTAATTTAAACCCTAAGTTGGATTTAAAGGGGGAATAAGCCTGGAGCCGAATCAAATCCCTGGAAAAAGGGCTGGATTTCTGCCTTTTCCCGGGATTCGGGAGGCGTCGCTTCCCGGGATTCCCGGGGCGAGCAGCGAATTCCCAGCCAGGATTCCAGCCGGGATTCCAGCCCCGTTCCAACCCCATTCCAGCCAGGATTCCAGCCCCATTCCAGCCGGCATTCCAGCCGGATTCCAGCCGGGATTCGAGCCCCATTCCAGCCGGAATTCCAACCCCATTCCAACCTCATTCCAGCCGGGATTCCAACCGGATTAAGGTGGACACCGTCGGGAATAAAACCTGGCAAAGGGATTTATTCCCGGGAAAAGCCCCTTCCCGGCGCTCATCCCTCCCCTCTCCAATCAACCCACCCGATCCAAGCCATTCCCGAGTTTTCCCGGGCGGCGGGGAGCGGATTTTCGGGAGGGATTTACCTGCGGGCGTTCCCGGGGAGCATCTACGATCCCGGCTGGAGCCGCCGCCGCTTTTTTATATCCCGAGGGGAACAAAAAAAAACACAAACCAGGAGAGGGGGTGGGAAGGTGGGAGAAGAGGGGGGAGAGGGATCGCTCCAGGTCCTGGAAAAAGGAGGAGCCGCGGGAAGGGGTGGGGGGGGAAGGGATTTACATCCCGGTGACAAAACTTCTCCCTTTAATTGGCTTTTAGGGGATTAATTGGGGTGGGGGTGGTGGAAAATCCTGCCCTGGGGAGCAGCGCGAGGGGCAGGAAGGGCTGTTTGGGGTGGGAATGCTGGGGGAGAGTCTGGAATTTTGGGGGGTGCGGAGGGTACAGAGGGGATTTGGGAGTGGGGGGTTAAAGGGAATTTTGGGAATAGGCGGTGGGAGCACGGACTGAGCTTGGAATTATGGAATGGGTGGGAAGGGAGCTCAAAACTCATCCCGTTCCAACCCCAGCACCTCCCGCTATCCCAGGGGATCCAACCTGGCCTGGGACACTGCAGGGATCCAGGGGCAGCCACAGCTTCCCTGGGAATTCCAGCCCAGCCCCTCCACACCCTCCCAGGCTCTGGAAGGGGCTCCCAGCTCTCCCTGGATCCTTCCCTGCTCCAGCCTGGCCATTCCCAGCTCTCCCAGCCTGGATCCAGAGCCTGACATTGGATCCATGCCCAGCCCAACTCCTCTCTGGGAAGGAGTTCCGGGAACAAGGGGGGGTTCCCTGGGAATCTCGGCACTCAGGGAAGGGTCTCCCTTCCCCTTTCCCGCCTTTGCCATCCCCACATTCCATAAAAACCCCTCTGAGTGGATCCAGAGTGTCCTTTATCCCGGAATCCCAGACTGGTTTGGGTGGGAAGGGCCCTTCAATCCCATCCCATTCCAAACCCCAGCACTTCCCGCTATCCCAGGTGGCTCCAACCTTTCCTTGGACACTCCCAGGGATCCAGGGCTCCCCTTTCCCTGTTTCCCAGTGCTCCAAAGCCCGGCAGAACTCCTGCTTCCCAAGGCTTTGGCCTTGGATATTCCCTGTTTCAGGAGCAGCTGTGGCTTTCCAGGATGTTCCCAAATTCCCAACCCCTCTGGAAACACCTGGGACATCCCTGGAAGGTCCAACTCCCTTTTCCCAGTGGGAATTGGTGACATTCCCAGCCCCCCTCCCTCAGGGTGCGCCTTGTGGTTTGGGATAAAAACACATCCCAAAATTCCCACCAAATTCCAGAGTGGGATCTCCAACAGCAGCAGGAAAATGTCCAGAGTTGGATCTCTGGGATTTGCTGGTCCTTTTCCATCCCCTCTTCCCGTGGGATCGAGGTCCATCCCCTCCAGGGGCTGCTCCCCAGCAGCATTCCAAGGGCAGGGAACAATTCCTTGTCCGTGGAGCGGGAACAGGGAAGGATTCCAGGAGTTCAAGGTCTGGCTTTTCCAGGTGGAGAAACTTCCATTCCAGAGTTCCCATTCCAGGGATTTCCTGCCCTTGAAGGATGGACCAGCCAGGAGGAGACAAATCCATTCCAAATCCACCCCCACCTCCCTGTCCTTCCCAAATCCATCCCCAATTCCATCCCCACTTCCCAGTCCTTCCCAAATCCATCCCCAAACCCTCCCCACCTCCCTGTCCTTCCCAAATCCACCCCCAATCCATCCCCACTTCCCAGTCCTTCCCAAATCCATCCCCAAACCCCTCCCAGCTCCCCTGTCCTTCCCAATCCATCCCCTACCCCCAGCCCTTCCCAAATCTATCCCCAGTCCCTCCCCAACCCCCCAGCCCTTCCTCAAATCCATCCCAAAAATCCATCCCCAATCTCCATCCCCCCATCCCAGCCCTTTCCAAATCCATCCCAAATCCATCCCCAATCCATCCCCACCCCCAGCCCTTCCCAATTCCATTCCCACATCCCTGCCCTTCCCAAATCCATCCCCAGTTCCATCCCCCTGTGCCTGCCCTTCCCAAATCCACCCCCAACCCTTTCCTAGCTCCTCCCAGCCCTTCCCAAATCCATCCCAAATCCACCCCAATCCATCCCCACCCCCCAGCCCTTCCCAATTCCATCTCCCCCTCCCTGTCCTTCCCAAATCCTTCCCAATCCATCTCCCACCCCCAGCTCTTCCCAAATCTGTCTCCAACCTGTTCCCAGCTCCTCCCCAGCCCTTCCCAGATCCAAGCCCCCATCCCAGCCCCTTCCAAAATCCATCCCCAGTCCCTCCCCAACTCCCCCAACCCTTCCCAAATCCATCCCCAATTCCCTCCCCTCCCCATCCCAGCCCTTCCAAATCCATCCCCAAATCCATCCCCCATCCCAGCCCTTTCCAAATCCATCCCCAAATCCATCCCCCTCCCAGCCCTTCCCAATTCCATCCCCCATCCCTGCCCTTCCCAAATCCATCCCCAATCCACTCCCCACCTCCCTCCCAGCCCTTCCCAAATCCATCCCCCAATCCATCCCCCACCCCAAGCTCCTTCCCAACTCCATCCCCCTCCCAGCCCTCTCCCAAATCCACCCCCAATCCATCCCCACCCCCAGCCCTTCCAAATTCCATCCCCAACCCCTCCCCAATCCCCCCAACCCTTCTCAATTCCATCCCCAACCCGTTCCCAGCTCCCCCCAGCCCTTCCCAAATCCACCCCCAATCCATCCCCTCCCCCTCCCAGCCCTTCCCAAATCCACCCCCAATCCATCTCCACCCCCTCCCCTCCCAAATCCTCCCCATCCCGACCTGCGTCATCTCCTCCGCGGGCGCCTCCCGATCCCCCTTTCCCCGCCGCGTTTTCCCCCGGCCCGGAGCCGTTCCCAGCCCCCTGAGGGCCCTTCCCGGAGCCATAATTCCCACTCCAGAGGCCCTTCCATCTTCATCAGGCCAATCCTGGCCGCGGATGCTTCCGGGGAAGGTGGGAAATCAGTTTAGGGAGCGTCACCGAGCCGGAGCTGGAGCGTCCACGGGG